GTACATGGAAAAGTTGCTATTAGTAAGAACTTGACTGAACTTGGTCCAGATCATAAAATAGATGACTGACCATCTCCGGAGAAAGTGGAGTTCACTAGTGTGGTAGGCCGTTTTCTATTCAGATAGGCTTGTTACATAGTGGAGGATTTCTGTGTTGTTGTTGTTTTAGACTGGGTCTCACTGTATAGCTTTGACTGGCTTAGAGCTTGCTTGTAGATCAAACTGTCCTTGAACTCAGAGAAATCTACCTGCCTGGGCTCCAAGGACTGGGATTAAAGGAATATGCCACCATGCCAGTCCTCGTAGTAGATCTCTATAGAAGATTTCCATAGGTACAATTCCTGTTGTTGATATGTTAATTTGCAAGAGCACCAAGATACTAACAGACCGTTTGTTAGCTGAGATAGATAGAATTTGTCGCTGGTGAAACATGTGTCAATACAAGTGAATATAAACTGGAGTGAATGAGTAGTCACTTTTAATGGCTACCATGTTGGTTTTTGATTCTTTCCCACCCATTTAAAAAACAAAACAAAATCACTTTAGGTAAATGCATAGTTCCCATAGCCAATTCTTGTCCTTAGTGTCTCTAGATATGACCCCATTAGTCCAGTCATTCTCGTGGACATTTTTAAATTTATTTTATGTCATTGATGTTTTGCCTACATGTTTGTCTGTGTTGAGATGTCACATCCCCTGCAACTGGGTTACAGACAGTTGTGAGCTGCCATGTGGATGCTGGGAATTGAATCCAGGTCATCTGTGAGAGCAGTCCATGTTCTTAACTGCTGAGACATCTCTCCAGTCTTGCCTGCCTGCCTTCCTTCCTTCCTTCCTTCCTTCCTTCCTTCCTTCCTTCCTTCCTGTGCATATTGCTTTGTGCTATATGATGATGCAATAACAGGTCTGACCTCAAAGGAAATAGAGGTATTTTATTTTAGAGCCCAGTATGAATGAATGACTATGGTTTGGGAATGCAGATTCAGGTCACCCCAAATACATTCTCTGGTAACATTCTGATGAAATTTTTATATCATCAAAACAAAAGAAAGTCATAAGTTAAGGCACCTTAAAGACACACCAGTGATAGCCAGTTGTAGTGATACATGCTTTAATCTGAACACTTGTCCATCAGAGACAGGAAGATCACTAGTTTGAGGCCAGCCATATATACTTGGACAGTTCCAAGCCAGCCAGTGCTACATAGTTGAGACCTTGTCTCAAATAAATAAATAAATGAACTGGTTGAAATGCTAGGTAGACAAATTATAGCAGAGCCAAAAGTTGTCTGCTACAGACTTTAGATGTTACCTGATGACATTCTTAGCCTTTGGGGATAGTGGAAGCCAGAGGCTTTTTGCACAACCCCAAAATATTTTATGATTTATTTATAAAAAAATAAAAAAATTTAAAAAAGATTTGTGTGTGTGTGTGAGAGAGACAGACAGACAGACAGACACCTAATACATTCTATTAGGATAGTTTACAGGATATGGCCACCTTAGTTTACCAGTGGTTCCATTGCTGAAGAAAATGTTACTCCTCTATCAATTGTACATAAATCCTTAGGGAGGGGTTGATCTGAAACTTTTAATGTACTTTTTTTGCCAGGCAGCACCTAGTTATTTTCTCCCCTCGCTTACTCAGCATCATTCTTTCCTTCCTCCTTGTCTACTTGGACGTACTTCCCCGACTCAGATTCTTTCAACACCAGGAAGAACCAAGTTGTTTTTATTATCATAGTTGGCTCTTTTATGATTTTTTTTATTTTATATGTGTATTTTTCCTGCATGCATATATGTGTATTACATCCATGTCTGGTGTCCACAGAGGTCAGAAAAAGCTATCAGATCCCCTGGAACTGGAGTTACAGGTGGGTCCTGGGAACTGAACCTAGATCTTCTACAAGAACAGCCAGTGCTTAACTTCAAGTCATCTGCCCAACCCCTTTTTTTTTTTATATGATTGTCCACTCATTGTTGACACCCTAAGCTTGTTTTTGTAAAATGTGAAGAAGGAAGTGGCCCTCTAGGGCAACAGTTCTCAACCTCTGTGTTACAACCGCTTTGGAAATTAAACAACCATTGCACTGAGGTCACCTAGTACCATCAGAAGACACAGATATTTACCTTACAATTCATAACAGTAGCAAAATTGCAATTATGAAGTAGCAACAAAACTAATCTTATGACTGGAATTACCCCAACATGAAGACCTGTATTATAAGGGATGCAGCATTAGGGAGACTGAGAACCATTGCTGTGGGGGCATTAATACCATTTCAGTAACTGAGAAGCATAATGATCTGTAAATTTAACAATATTATTTTGCCAGGCTTTGCAAGGCCAGGGAAAAAGCTAAAATTTGCTTGTCTCTTGCTAATTTGAAGCATAGACTCAGGAACTTGAATGACTTTCAGTTATTTCAAACAGGAGTTGATAAGACAAAGATTACGTGAAGTTTATCAAGGATTTTTTTGTGATGGTGTCAGAATCTAAGCATTTTGAGACATTTAGTTCCAGTATACAGTTAAAGTGATATAGTACTTGAAAACCACTTTGAAAGGCCTAAGGTGAGAGAATGTTCCCCTGAAAAGCAAAATAATAAACTAGCTCCTTTGTGAAATTATGTTTGGCTCCCTGAGAACCATAGATGGTACACATACTAAAATAAGAACGACTGACCAGAGACTGGTGAGGTGTCTAAGGGTAAAGGCACTTGTCACCCAAGCCTGGTGTCCTGAAATCGATCCTTAGAATCCACATAAAGTTTGGAAGGAGAGAACCACAAAGTTGTTCTTAGATGTCATGGCATGTGTACCCACATGTACATCATACACACACATACACTACCATTTGTCACACACAGCATGTGTCCCCCCTCATATATCACATAATACATATACACTAGCAATAACAGTAATAATAGTAGTATTAAAAGACGATTGTATATAGAGAAAGTTCCAGGACAGCCAGGACTGCTACACAGAGAAATCCTGTTTTGAAAAACAAAAACAAAAAGAAAAAAAGACTGGTATTGGTTAAGATGTGAAGGGACCTGTCACTGCTGAGGGGAATGACATTTTTAAATATAAGCATTTTTACCATTATAGAATAACTATTGGATAAATACATCCACAATATTGCTTGCATTTAGGAAACAAGAGACTTAGAATACACACACTCACTATGTCTTTTTCTAGGGTGAAAACAAAAGTCATATGTATGCGTGAGGATAGTGGGCCAGCCCGATCTCAGGATAATACTGTTTTGAATCTTGTGTGCATGTTCTGTCACAAATGACAGTTGTCTAGTACCCCCAAGTGATGTCTTGACTTTGATTCCAGACTTGCAGGGGTTTGTTCCTGCCTCTTGAAGGTCTGGGAAGAAACCAGCTTTGGATGGCCTGTTTTCATTCATTCCCAGTCAGAGCTGAAATGGGGCAGTTATACTCACTGTTTATTGAGCACTTCTGTTATTTGGGTTCATCTTGAGAGATGGATGGTGTGGTGGTTTGAGTGAGATAGCCCCAGAAGTCTCTGGTACTTGAATTGGTTTGAATACCCTAATTTGGCTGCTTGAGGAGGATTAGGATGTGCAACCTTGCTGGAAGAAGTATGCCACTTGGGGGCTGGGCTTTGAGGTTTCAGAAGACTTCACTCCATTTAGCTCTCTCTATTGCTTGTGGCTTGAGAGTCAGCTGCTGCTCTAGTTGTCTGCTGCTTGTTGTCTCTACTCTGTCATCTAAAACATGTTGTCTTTATTCTTCAGATAAGTAAAAAGTCGAATTAAAACTTCTCTCTTCCTATTGATGAGTCCAAACTTCATAGTGAAGCCCTTTTATTTTTTGTCCTTGTGGATAAAGGATGTATTTCTTTCTGGTCCCTCATTCCTTTTCCTTCCTTTCTCTTTTTCTCCTCTCTTTCTCCTTCCCTCCCTCCCTCCTCCCTTCCTTCCTTCCTCGCCCCCTTCCTTCCTCCCCTCCCTTCCTCTCTTCCTCCCCTCTCCTCCCTCCCTCCCTCCCTCCCTCCCTCCCTCCCTCCCTTCCTTCCTTCTTTTTTTTTTTTTTGAGGCCATATCCCAGGCTGTCCTGGAGCTCTCAGGTGTGCTGTGCCACATCAGGCTTTTTATTTTATTTTATTTTTTGATGTTAGGATTTGTTTATTGTGTTGGGAATTTTTGCTGAGCACTTTTCATCTGCTGTCTGACTATTGAACCCGGGGAGCACTGTTGTGAAATAGTTGGTATTTCACCCAAGATGCCAGTGAGAAGAAAGAACCCTCCAGGTGAGCTTCTCATGGTTAACAACCATCTGAAGGAAGTTTCAGACCAGGGTTTTCATACCAGGTTTGTTTCCTCAGATAGTGGACTTTGAAATCATTTTGCTTCCATCCTAAATACTTGAAATTTGGGGCTGCATAGAAAATTTGTACATGTTAGAAGTTCTCAGAAGAGAACTTCTCAGATGGGACATGCTAATGTTTGCTATATTAGTCTATGGTGGATTACATGTAATTCTTTATTTTAGCACAATGCCACTAGAAAAGGTGGGACTCTAAAAAACACACTCTAGCCAGTAAAGGAATATGATTTTGACTTCTTAAGTTGTACTACAGGTGTATCCAGTCATTAACAGCAGCTGTACCCAGGGTCCCCAGTGACAAAAATCTCAGGTGATAGTACTGCTCCTTAAGCCTGGTGTCAGAGAGAGAACAGTTTTGCTGCTACTTTAGCAGCAGGAGCTCTGGAGTTCCGTCATCCTGTGATTTCTATTTAGAACTGGGTGGCCAGGCCTCCCAAACCATCAGTTATTTGTACATTATGGTCTGTGTTTCTGAAATGGTCTCAGCAGTTGATCCTGCCTTGGGTGACTATGGGAGAAAAGGAAAGGGCTCTTGTCTGGAAATAAAATTAAGAGGTCATGAGCATTCCTTTTCTTTTTTTCTTTTCTCTGTCTTTTTTGGTTTTTTATTTTTATTTATTTATTTTTTGTCATCCTAGTATTAAGCATGCTCCAAAATCCACTGGGAAATGTCCTAGGAAAAACCCCCTTGAGCTTCCTGTCTCTGAATCCCCTTGGGTCTGACTTGGACAAGTTCCCAGCACCCTCAGTTAGAGGATCTCGCCTGGACACCCGGCCCATCCTGGACTCCCGTTCTAGCAGCCCCTCTGACTCAGACACGAGTGGCTTCAGCTCTGGATCAGATCATCTCTCAGATTTGATTGTATGTAACATGCTCAGGAATGGGGGGGGGGGGGCGTGGAGGTGGAGTTGTTTGTGTGTCCTAGGGGGAAAGATGCTGCAGTGTCTACCCGTCCACCAGGATGCATGCGAGTGAGAAGATCATAAGGCACCCTCTTTATAGACATTCATCCTCAGCAAATTCAAGGGCACTTTGAATGTCCGTGAACAGTACATTTTAGGACTTGTTACTCCAAGAGCTATTAGAGAACAGTTGTAAACAAGAACATCTTGGCAGTGTTTTATTTCTTGAAATACATGAATGTTTCCTTTTTAGCTTTTAAACGATATTCCTTATATACCTCTGTGTATAATATCCCAAATTTTATAAGTGGTATTTTAATAAATGATCTTAATTCACAATTAATAGTGAACACTGGAATTTTAAACAGAATTTGACTTGAGCTCCTATATTTGTACACTGATCCATGCCAACTCAGTCTGAAACTATCATCAAATTTATATCTCCCGTGTTCCTTACCTACAGCCATGTGTGATATGTATAGTCTCCATGCTAATTAGTCAGAACATGGATTAGAGTGGGTGGGGAGGATGGTATAATGGCATATATAGACGAGCATAGACAGTATAGTTAGACGGTAGAAGTAATCACATGAGAGTCTTCAAGGGGGAAGAGGCAATGAGACAATTTTCTGAAATAAGATCCAACTTTTAAGGTGCCATCCCAACCTTGCTTTTCTGTCACCAAATGCTCTAAGCAAAATTTCTTATCTTCTTATCTCTGTGGTTTCCCATTCACGGCTTTTAGAACCCACCCTATCTTCTTTTTGCACTGTCCTGGACTACGAACACAGGCATTGGTATTCCCATTGCCTACTCATGTAATCTGTCCAGACTAGTTTCTAGAAAGATAGCTTCAGTCAGCTCCTTTACTTCCCTGTAAGATCGGTTCACACGAGGTGCTTGTTCTGTTTCGTTACTTCGAATAGTACTCATCTTGAGAATTTACCTCATGACTGACAAATATAATTTTTTTTTCAGATACTCACCTAAGAATTAATTTGGAAAGAGACAAAGCTAACACAAAAGAGGAAATAAAACAGTTTTTGTATTTACAGAAAATATTCTGTCAACAAATTTTAATATATTCTTTGACACTTAGAATTTCACGATTTAGTATAAATATATAGTATAACATGTTCAAATAAATACATTTCTAATAGAGCATAGAGCCATCAGAGAAAAAGTCGTTTAACCATAGGGAACTGGATCAGTAGGCTGTTGTTTGTCTCCTGAATAAAATGTGATAAATTCATTAAAATTGTTATGAGAACTCTCTGGCAAGAAAAAAGGTCTATGTGGAGAGATGGAATTTATTTTAGTTATATTATAGTCTATAACTAATCTTAAAAATGGATAGGAAGACATAATAGAACATATATTAAGTTATAAATGTTAAATACTTCTAAGATTTTGTTATATGATTATTACTTTATAACAAAACTGTCTTTTAAAACTCGTGTCTTCCTTTTTCCTCCTCTAGTCAAGCCTTCGCATTTCCCCTCCTCTGCCCTTCCTTTCTATGACGGGGAATGGTCCCAGAGACCCTCTAAAGATGGGAGTTGGGTCCCGAATGGACCAAGAACAAGCTGCTCTTGCTGCAGTTACTCCCTCTCCAACCAGTGCTTCAAAAAGATGGCCAGGAGCTTCTGTGTGGCCATCCTGGGACCTTCTCGAAGCTCCTAAAGACCCTTTCAGCATAGAGAGAGAAGCTAGATTACACCGGCAGGCTGCAGGTGAGTGCAGCTTGATTCTGGGTAGACTGAGGCCCGAGGCCTCATTTTAGAGACAATTGACCTTTGCTTACACAATAGTGAACTCTTCTGGAGGAGGGTTTGTTAGTGTGGTAAGGTTTTCAGGTCTGTATAAAACCACGTACTTTGTAGAATAAAGGACAACCTTGAGACTGAGTTCAAAGAGGCAGATAGCCTGGCACACAGAAAATGGCTGGCTCCACCTCCTACTGTGAGCTTCTGTGAAAATTGGCTGTGCCCTACCCTTGCTTTTGATTGTTGCATGAGAAAGATAAAGTCTTAAAAATGATGCCTACAGCTTTGTCTGCCTTTTCTGTTTCTAATTCAGAGTCATGGCAGTCACAATTCATTTGCTGGCTTTCTGCCCTGATATTTTCTGATTACATTCAGGCTATTAGCCTCTAAGGTATGAGATGTTACCAGATGCTCTGATATCTGATCTAATCTCTTTGAAATTCTTTAGTTTTTATCATTTAAGTGATAAGTGAAGGTTGGAGAGAAGGCTCAGTGCATAAAGAGTCCTGGCTTCTCTTCAGAGAACCTGGGTTCAGTTCCCACCACCTACAGGGCACCTAACAACTGTTTGTAGTTCTAGTTCCAGGGGTCCAAAACCCTCTTCTGACCTCTGCAGGTCTCAGGTGTGCTCACAGCACACAGACATGCATGCAAGCAAGACACCTATGTACATAATACAAAAATAAATTAAATTTGAGTTTTTGTTGTTTTTTTGTTTTGTTTTTTGAGACGGGGTTTCTCTGTGTAGCCCTGGCTGTCCTGAAACTCACTCTGTAGACCAGGCTGCCCTTGAACTCATGATCCTCCTGCCTCTGCCACCTTCAGCAAATCCTACCAGCAGGCGCCACCACAACTGGAAAATTAAATTTTTATTTTATTGGTTTGGTTTGGGTTTTCAAAGACAGGTTTTCTCTGTGTAGCTCTGGCTGTCCTGGACTTGCTTTGTAGACCACACTGGCATCAAACTCAGACAGTCTCTGCCTCATGAGTGCTAGGAATAAAGACATGCGCCACCACTGCCTGGCGAGGTGCATAATGTTAAGTGTGCATTAAATCTGTTTTTCACATTACCTCTGAGCTTGGAAATAAATGAGGTACTTACATCATTAACTGCTAGTGTTTCAGGGTTTTCCACTTATATCATGGTTCTGAGGTACCTGACTGAATGAACATCCCTATCTCATTCTCCCCTAATGGTGTTTGTCTGTTTGGTGGTTCTGATAGCTCATGTTCGTGCTTACTATGTAGCCATTGTATGGTGTGCTTTCTGGAGGCTTCTCGGTTTTGCATGGAGTATTGCTAGCATTGCCCCATTCCTTTTGTTTGTTTGTTTGTTTTGCTTTGCTTTATTTTTTGTCTTGTTTTGTTTTTTTCTTTTCGAGACAGGGTTTCTCTTTGTTGCTTTGGAGCCTGTCCTGGAACTAACTCTTGTAGACCAGGCTGGCTTCGAACTCACAGAGATGTACCTGCCTCTGCCTCCCGAAGTGCTGTGACTAAAGGTGTTCATTGACACCACCTGGCCACAGTGCCCCATTTCTTGTCACAGTAACACATTAGTCTTGTACATGTTGGGTAATGGCCTGGTATCCAGGAGGGAATAATGGCTCATCTCCTTGAATGTGTTCCTCAGTACTGAAGGAGAAGGGTAATATGTTGAAGAGTAACCAGTCCTCACCTAGATCACCTTCCTATGTGAAAGGCCTGAACTAATTGCCAAGAGCAGACTTCTGGAAGTTAGAGGACAGGCCAGTCTTAAGAGAGTTCCAAACATACACAGCAGAAAGGGCCTCTTGGCATAAGTAGGAAGCTGAGGGTTTGGACAGAAATCCATCATCGTACAGTGTAGGCAGCAGGGAAGCTCAGTGCCCACTCAGGTGCTTGTGCGTGGGTTTATGGGGCATGGTAATGTTCTTACTCTGTTGTGTTTTCTACTGAAAGTGTCCTGACTTCTGTGGTCCAGAGACAAGATGGGGAAATGTAGAGTTTTTACCTCGGAGAAGACAGAAACTTAAAGAGAATTGCATATAAAATTGTTCTGTCTACTCTTTTTTTTTGTAAACTATTTATAAATCTACTTAGTACTATAAACAATAGCAAGATAAAATTCTTTGTTGCTAGTTTATCAGTTATATAGTTGAAATTGTTTACGTTGTGATCATTTTTACCCTGCACTTCTGCTATTCCTTTCAGTTACTTTGCAAGCAAAGCTGCTGAGGTAGGATTATCAAACTTACTTTAAATAGCTGAGAGAGTTTCTGTCTTTCAGAATAACCATGGATAGTCTTCTTCCGGGCAGCCAGGTTGGAATGGTGACTGCTGTATTTCTTGTCAATAAGTCCATATCAGAGAAGGGTAGTGAACTCTTTTCTCTTTGCTCCTTTCCAAAGCTGTGAATGAAGCTACCTGTACCTGGAGTGGCCAGCTTCCTCCCCGAAACTATAAGAACCCCATCTACTCCTGCAAGGTGTTCCTAGGAGGTGTTCCTTGGGATATTACGGAAGGTGAGCTGCTTCTGAGATCTCTTACAAGAGTTGGAGGTGGGGCATATCTTTAAGGAGTGTGAGCCCTAGGCTCCTGTTTAGGGCCTGAACCTCTGCCTTAGCATAGTGTTACAGGAGCAGCTGAGGGGAGGGTATACTTCATAAGCTTTCAAAATGATTCTGTTTGTCTGCTTACCCATGAGACCAAAAGTCGATTCTGAGCTGCTTGTCAGGAGCAGTGAACCTTGGGAGGAGTGCTGGGGGAGGGGGGGTCCTGTGTGTGTGTATCTTTCCTGAGTAGACTGTTTCTTGGTTTCTGCTCTTGCCCACTGTGCAGCTGGATTGGTTAACACCTTCCGTGTTTTTGGTTCTCTGAGTGTGGAGTGGCCTGGAAAGGATGGCAAGCACCCCCGGTGTCCTCCCAAAGGTAATATGCCTAAAGGTAATACAGACATGGTAGGAATTTTTTTTTTGCCCTCTCTCACACACACTGTACCACGTGGTGTTGGGATGTCACAGAAGCATGCTGGTAACGCAGGCACTCCAGGGTGCAGTCAGCACATCCTCTTCAGTTTTGCACGTTTCTTTTGTCCATCTGTCCAAACTTGCAGTGCTGTAGGGAGTTGTCCCCAGACCCCTTCCTATGCACTTCCCTCCAAAGCTGAACCCCACCTTTCCTCTTGAATAAGGCATTTCAAGGGTGTACCTTTGCTGCCTCAGAGGCTTATCATCTGACCCAGTTCTGAGATTCCCTTTGGAGTTGTCAGGAATGAGGACCAACTATCTGATTCCTCACTGGTCTAAAATGAGATCCTGCCCTGTAGAAAGGAGCAGGTGCTATTTTCTCTCTGCTCCATCTTCATTGAAATTGAACCAATGGTTTAATTAGACTTTTAAAGCAATACCTTCATCCTCTGACAAACTGCTACTCTTCTTGGCTTTGCTGAACTGAGCATTTTCTGTGTTCTGGGGTAGAAAGCTGTGTAGTAATGGATGGGGTCTACTGGAACTGGCCTGACAGTTCCTTCCTTAGTGAAATAGGATATGCATCTCTTTCCCTTAGCCTGGGCATAAGACATAGTAAGTACTTCATTTGACAAACCTTTTCAGGAGTAAAACAAAAAGGTACTTTGGGATGAAGGATTGGTTCAGCAGTAGAGTACTTGCTTAGCATGCACAGGCTATAGGTTCAATCCCCAGCATCTACCTCCCTCCAAAAAATGTCCTATACTTGAGACTTTCTCCCTTAGAAGAAACTCCCTGCTCCAAAGCCATAGCTCTTCGACCACCATAGAGGACATTAAATACCACCCAAGGAGTAGTAAAGTGTCTTTTCCTTTTGTTGGGTAGGGTATGTGTATTTGGTGTTTGAACTAGAGAAGTCTGTCCGGGCCTTGCTTCAGGCTTGTTCTCATGACCCGATGAGCCCAGATGGCCTGAGTGAATATTATTTCAAGATGTCCAGCCGAAGGATGCGCTGCAAAGAGGTGAGTTAGCTTAGTGTCCTATGTTAGTTACTTTTGCTGTAGTAGTTCTGTTTCTATTGCTGTGATAAAGCACTCTGACCAAGGTAGCTTATAAAAAGAAAACAGTCTTAGTTGGGTTTACAGTTTCAGAGGGTTAGAGTTTATGATGGTAGAGTGAAGGCCTAGCAGCAGGAACCCTGTGGAGAGATCACACCTCTAAACCTCAGGCGTGAGGCTGAGAGCGCATTTGGAATAAATAGCACGAGTATTTTTAAACCTCAAAGTCTGCCCCTAGTGACACACCACCTCCAACAAAACCACAGCTCCTAATCCTTCCCAAATAGGCCCACCAAGGGCCAAGCATTCAAATGTGTTGCCTATGAAGGCTATTCTCATGTAAACTAACAACAGTCATTGTGATTAAAATACTACAGCCAGACAATTTACAAAAGAATAATTTGGGTTTCTGAGTCCTGAAGGATTAGAGTTCAACACAGTGGCACACACCTTTAATCCCAGCGCGTGGGAGGCAGAGGCAAGCTGATCTCTGAGTTCAAGGCTAACCCAGTCTACAAAATGAGTTCTAGGACAGCCAGGGATACACAGAGAAACCCTGCCTCGGGAAAAAAAACAAAAAACAAAAAACACTTCATTATGGCAGGAACAAAATGCTAAGAGTTCATATCCCGCATCATAAGCACAAAACAGAACAAGTTAGAAGTGGCAAGAAGATTTTAATCTCAGAGCCCACTGACCCAAATCCTATAGCAAGGCTATACCATCAAAAACTTTTCAAACAGCACCACCTACTGGGGACCAAGTTCAAATGCCCAAGACTTTGGGAGACATATCTCATTCAAACCACCACATAGCCTTCCTGTGTCAGGATAATTGGCATGATATGGCATTAGTTTTTTGGAACCAGGGTGACCGTTATTCTTGCTGTGACAGGAAGTCTGCTTTTCTTGTCCATGGTAAATGCATAAATTTCATTTTTTAAAAAAGCCAACTGTTGGGCCTTGTTAAAAGGGAGGTAAAGGGGAGGTGTGTACAGTGTGCACAAACAATCCTAGAACCAGTGGATCAAGCTTTTCCAGCCTCTCTACTCTACATTTAAATTCTAAACCTCAACATAGAGATAAAACCGGAAGCAGCAACTTTCTCTACTTGGACGAAACTGATAAAATCTACAGATACATTCTCCTGGTTCTCATACTGTGCCTCTGACCCTGTAATATGTAGTGGGTGAGTAAATTCTTCTTTAGCACAAGTCCAGCAATGGCTACTTCCCTTCCCTCTTGGGAGTTTATTACATAGCATTATCAATATGTTGGTTTTTTTTTTTTTATAATTCTTGGCATAAGTCTGTGTCCTGAACATCATACTGATTTCACATTGGGGAACTCATTGCAGTTTCTTACCTCAGGCTTACTGACTTGTTCGGGTGGAGTTTAGGAATCTCTAACTCATTTGGGGAGTAATCAGACTCCCCAGTTGGTACTAGCGGATAGAGTTGTGAGAACCACTTGTTTTGAGTTCGGGAATTGGGGTGGTGCTGTTTTTATTAGGCTGATTCCAAAGAACTTCACTTTTGTGACATTAAACTACTGTGAAGTTTATTGCTCCCCAGGAAGTTGAAAATACCTCTAGTTAAAAAGATCAGTGCTTTCCAGGGGAGCAGACATGACTGGGCAGAGCACAGAGGATTTTGGGGGCTATGAGATGACACGCAGCTACCATTGCAGTGTGTAAAAGTCGTCACACATTTCCTCTAGACCAGTAATTCACAGTGAACATGAGGAAAACCCAGTGGTGATTATCAGTGCAGGGTCATCAGCTAGAAAAGATGTACTTTCTAGTGCAGAATGCTGCTAGTTGAGGCCTGTGTGGGACAGTGTGTGTGGAAAATGTTCATTAGTGGGGTTTGCTATGAACCTAAATCAACTGTTAGAAAGGAAAGTCTATTTTTTAATCTGTATCTTAAAGGGTAAACAGCCCCTTAGGATGGTCACAGCACTTTTAAATAATCCATTGACTAATCTGGTTCTTTGCTTTATAGAAGTTCTTCTGTGTTTTTGTTGTTCAGTCTGACAATTGGTCATTCTCTGTTTCCCACAGTGACCCAGGTTCCCTTCTCTCCTCATTTGATTGGCCCTCAGACAGCAAGCTGGAGCTCATCGTATCTAAGATTAATTCATGTACGCTTTCCTCCTTTATCCCTTGTTTTCACACACAGACTGTCACAGCTACAGGACAGTCTGCCTCATGCCCCTGATGATACCCATTTCTTACCGCCTAGCAGAGATTGAGTCTCCCTTTGCTGCACCAGCTCCAGGCTGTCCCAGCTCTCTCACTTCCGTGACTGTTTTCTCTGTATGTCCCGACTGTTGTCCACTCTTATCAGTACAGTATTTGACTCTCTTACTATCTCTTCTATCTCAGATAATTTATACATTTCTGCTCTTTTTAGACACAGATTCGTCTGTCTAACCTCCTGTCCTATGTAGACCCTGTATTCTTTGATATATCCTGTAACTCTATATTGCACTGTGTGCAAAAGTAGCCTTTTTCATGAATTTGTAGAGCTGTTGACTTTCCTGGTACCTTCTACCAGGCTCTCCAAACCTCAAGCCTTGTTAAGTCTAGGTCTTGCTCACCCCCTTGAGAAGTCTGACCTCTACAGACTTCCATTGAACAATATCTTTATTTGTCCCTGTAACCATTACCAACAGCCTTCTTTAGGTCTTCGTTGAATTGTTTTTACCTCCTTAGGTCAGCTTCAGTTCTCTTTCTACTTCAAAACATTTTAAAAGATCTTCACAGACTAATTTTCCAAAAATAGTTACTGGCATTTGTAAGTCTGCTTCATTGTAATGCCCTCTGCCTGCTAGACTGGGTTTGATTCTGGGAGTCAAGAAATCAGAGGACAGAGGATATCACACTTTCCCTGATACTGAGCTTTTTTTTAATACCTCAGATCTTTGTGCATAACTTTACATACACACGGGGCAGGGGGCAGTGAGGTGGGAGAGAGTGTGTTCCCACTGTTGCTGGCACAAAGCCCTCTAAATACCTAGGTTTAGACCAGTAACCATCTCAATGATATAAGTATTTCCACCTTTTTATTCTTAATGCTTCTAGCTTTTAAATGCTCTATTAGTTCCACCTTTCATAGGGCTCTTGTTCACTTTCTTGAGAACTCATGCTCTGTTCATTCCTGTGGCCCTTAGTTGGAAGTAAAGAAGTGTGGGCCTGTCAGTTTGCTACTTTTGCTTACTCTGCAGAACGAGCAATTTCTGTTGTATTTTCTCTTACCATTGTGAACACAGGAAATTCAACTCAAGTTGTATTGGATAAGGTTGCCTTGCTGAAACCCTGTGTGCCTCAGATGGATGACAGTGCCCTTTCACCCCACATGGCCTCAGCAACTGCAGTTATGATAGAGATCACGTGTCCTACCATACAGGACGCTCTCTGAAGCTGCCAGCTGATAAACCTTTGGGGGGATTTTCAGGTGCAGGTAATTCCTTGGGTCTTGGCTGACAGCAACTTTGTCTGGAGCCCATCTCAGAGACTGGATCCCAGCAGGACGGTGTTTGTTGGTGCCTTGCACGGAATGCTCAATGCTGAGGCTCTGGCTGCCATCTTGAATGACCTATTTGGTGGAGTGGTGTATGCTGGGATTGACACAGATAAACACAAGTACCCCATTGGTGAGTGTCCTACTTCTGTGTGGGAAGGCTTGGTGCCCCTGGGAGTAAATTAAGACTATAATACCTGCCCTTGAGAATGGAGAGAGAACTGACCCAGGTTTGCAGATCATCTTTTCCTCCAGAAGTTACCAGTACTGGCCCATCTTGCTTCTACTCCTGGTTCCTACATGGGGAAAGAGTGAGTGTAGTAGGATCTATGATAATATTGGTGAAAATGAAGAAAGGAGTTTGTTGAGATTCTCAAAGTACACAGCCAAACAGCTTAGGACAAAATATAAAAGTGTTGCATTAAAAGACTGTACCGAGAACTTGCCAGGCTCCTTTATTAAAAAATTCTTGCCAGACATGGTGGCAGATACCTGTTGTCCCAGCCCTTGGGAGACAGAGGTGGGAAGATCTCAGTTCAAAGCCAGCCTGGTCTACAGAATGAGTTCCAGGACAGTCAGTCCTACACATACAGTGAGACCTTGTCAGGACAGAAGAGGGGAGAAAGGGAAGGAAGGAAAATTTGTTTTGTTTTTACATCTTTGATGTTGTCTAGAGTAAGAGACAAGATCAGATCAAAGGTGCTTTCTGGATAACTCAAAAACTGGGACAACTATTACAACTATTGAGCTGTTCTACCTTAAGGTAGTCTGTGTCCTGACCACTGAGTTTTAATCCTTTCTGAGAAAGGAGGTTAGTTACAGACTTGGTACAGTAATCTCAGTGATTGCGTTTGAAAGTGGAACCGACCTGAACTCTCTGATCAAGGTTTATATACTTAACCCACCTTCTCAGATGCCTGGTCTATCCACCCACACTGAACCTGATCAGGAACAAGCACTGTGTCAGTTCTGTGATGCAGATGGAGAACTAGGACTTCAGAGGCTGTAGGGGAGGGGCCGCACTTGGCAGGAGGGGGAATTCGTCTGCTCGTTCCTAGTTCTCTAAGGTACCTCTGGGTCAGGCTAGGTTTGATTGCTATTTCTACCCTTTAGAGAATTTAGTCTGCAGCATAGTTTCCACCTGAGCCCTTTCTCCTTCTCTGTGAATGTACCTGCACAGGAGGAGCCCCTTCCCTTTCCTCTTACTAACTTGTCTTATGTCATTAATGTGAGAGCCACCACCAGAAGGTGGTGAGTACATGTGTTAAAATATCTGGAACACAGTGTGGTGGTGGTGGCACATGCCTTTAGTCCCAGCATTCAGGAGGCAGAGGCAGGTGGATCTCTGTGAGTTCAAGGCCAGCCTGGTCTACAGAGTGAGTTCCAGGACAGCCAGGACAACACAGAGGAACCCTGTTTCTGGGGGGAAAAAAATCATAAACATATAAAATATATTATTAAAATTCCACTACTTTCGATTTTGCTTTGACAACCACTAAATTAGGAATTGCATGAATACTTATATTTATGTCAGACAGCACTGGTATAGAAATAGGGTTTCTTGAGCATTTAAGAGAATTTGAACAGAATGTGTAAGCTTCTGCCGGGTTTTCTTAGGGTCTGGTCGCGTGACTTTCAATAACCAACGTAGTTACCTGAAAGCAGTCAGCGCTGCTTTTGTGGAGATCAAAACCACCAAGTTTACCAAGAAGGTGAGTGTCTGGTTATGCCCTTACTGAGAGAGACTTGGGTCAGTTTCAAAAACAGCATAGTTCCAAGGGTAAGGCGATGTGCTCCACTACAGAGCTAACCTGCAGGGGTTGAGGGGGCCTTTGTCTCTGGGGACTCAGGAGAAAGGGACCTAGATTGTCAGCTGCCTGAGTGGGTGTGGGTGGGGAGAAGTTCCCTCGTTTTGGTATTTGTCTGAAATTGAGTAGATTGACTGTCTTTATCAACTTTTACCTGAATCCTCTGAGTACTTCCTTGCTGCTCCTTGATGGAGAACCAGGGTTCATTTTGCTGAGAAGAGCAAGCAATAAAACCTTGTGGTTGTTAAATGTTAGAAGCAACCAGTTCTGTCTCTGTACAATATGAGTCTATGCACTAAGATCCATATTTGGCCCTGGCCCACAATTCTGTCTAGGTTCCATTAGAACAGACAGATATACTGCAACCTGTGTACCCAGTAACATGCTCCTAAAGTTCACCTGACCCATAGAGCCATTTTATCTCCCTATGTTGCTATTCCTCAGGTTCAAATTGACCCCTATCTAGAAGATTCTCTGTGTCTTATCTGCGGTTCACAGCCTGGCCCTTTCTTCTGCCGTGATCAGGTAAGTTCCCTGGGCACTAGAAATGTCTAATTTTACCACAGTTAAAAAATGTGTTAAGGCATATTTATGATGTTGAGTATTAGAGTTCTCATGTGACTTGTAATGCCTGAAAGCATAGAGACAGTAGTCAAGAAGGTACACTACAGATTCACAGTCTGGGAGTGTCAGGGTGCTTGTTGGATTTTCCCTTTCCCTTCGTAGGCTACTGCTGTACAAAATGGCCATTGGTGATGATGGTAGGTGCTTTTTGGTGTTATGTTTTTTGTTTTTAATTGTCTTACTATGTAGTCCTGACTGGCTTGGGACTCATGTAATTAAGCTAGCCTTGAGCTTGCAACAAACCTCCTTCTTTCCCACTGCCCTACCAGAACCTTGGTATCATTGGCATGTGTTACCATACCCAGATAGTGGTTCTGTAGACATTGAATAGTCTACAAGCATTGAATAGTATCAAGCGCTACTGATACATTTTTTAAGTCTGACAAGCTTATCCAGCTACAGTCTTTGATACTATTTGCCTCAGGATAGTTATGAATGCTGCCCAACCTAAAAATGTAATTTTAGGACATTTTTACCCCCCACCTTGTGAAGTATTGGTTTGGTTTTATATCTGGGTTGTGTGGTTCTCCAGCGTGAATCTGAAAGACCCTCAGAGAGGACCTTTTCCTCCAATGAAGTCCCCAGAACCAGGACACTCCGAGTCCAGACCACAGGATGCAATTAGCAAGAGGTTTATTGAGTAAACACAGGTACCTGCGGGCAACATGCGCGCCTGCCAACTGGAGAGCGGGCTTTTTATAGGGAAGAGCAAAAAGCAAGTTTACAGAAGCAAAAGCGTGGTTATCGGAATGAGGCGGGGGGGGGGGGGGGGGGATGACTGTTCCTATCTCATAGATATCCTGTTTTGCAGTCAACCTGCTTTGTTGATGTCCTATCTTATTGACATCCTGCCCTGCAGTCTTCCTATCTCATAGACATCCTGCTCTCTCAAGCATGTGGGATGTTCTTAGGAGAGCAGGCTGGCTGCTGATCCGGAGAATTTTTTAAAAGCAAACAGGACGTTCCCCAGGAGCATGCTAGCTGCGGGTTTTGAGGAGGGGGTCTGTAGGGTCTTTCAAATCAACATTGTGTTGCAATGCCAGAAGGATAGGCACACCTTGCTGGGACTGAGTTTTTCCCTACTTTATTTCTGAACTTCTAGACTACTTTGGTGTTTGTATCTGGGTTCTAACCATAGTTGTCAGAGGGGAAAGCTACATGGAAACTTTGTATTGGGAGTCTCTGGGTGGTGGAACATGGATGGACCTGGGCGTGTTTGGCAGTCAGTGCTTTCTGACTTAAATGTATATACACATCAACTTTGTTGAAATGAGAATCTGCTGAGAGGTGTTTGTGTTGCTGTTTTTGAATGACCTTTTTAAAAAAAACACATTAAAATATGTTTTTGTGCATACAGTATATTTTGATCACATTTAACCCTACTTCTCCTAATTCCTTTCCATCTATTCCCTCTCAACCTTATCTTTTTGTTTTTCTTTGATGCTGTTTGGTCTGGTTGGTTTTGTTTGTTTTTTGAGACAGGGTTTCACCTTGTACCTCTGGTCAACCTGTAAACTATGTAAACCAGGCTGGCCTCAAACTCAAAGATCGACCTGCCTTTGCTTTCCCAGTTGTAGAAGAATCAAAGGCCTGTACTGCATGCCCAGCCTCTTTTTTTAAAAAAAAAAAAAATAAGTAACAAGCCTAGTCCCACTGTGCTACTCATATACTCTTGGTAGTCCATCTACTAAGGGATAAACCCTTAAAGAAAACTGACTTTCTTTCTTCCAGAAGCTATAAGTTGTCAGCAGCTCTCAGCTAGGAGTAGTGGCTTGTGAGCCTTCTTCCTGTTAGTGCTGGAACGTTCTTTGGGTTGATCTTGTGTAGGCACAACCATCAAACCACATTTTGAAACCTTTTTTGGGATGTTGGGAACCTTTCAGACTCTAGCAATTCATCCATGTTTAGTTGGCTTACAGTAATGCTGTTGTTTGCATGAAGGCTGTAGATACACAGGCTCTCAAGGGAGCTCAGAGTAAGTAAGCCTGAAAACAAGTATCTTTCTAAATCACGTTCACAGTGGATCCTGTTTCACATTCTTGGTAGGAAGTTATGACTTGCTTAGGTTATTCAGCTAGCAAAACCAGTCACTTCTCACTGAGAAGAGAAAGGCATGTCTCCTTATACTTAAATCTGTAACCAGTTCTTCAAACATTCTCTCATGTTGGCAGCCATGATATTCAACTGCTCTGTAGGTGAGAAGGGTGGGGAATTGGGAAGCTGCATGGTCTGTCTACACACCAGGAGCCTAAAATGTTTGCATAAGGGTACACATGAAAAAGGATAGCATTTACTTTAGTCAGTTGCAGCTGTTACCATGAGAGGGCTAACAGGAAGTATCTCTTCTAGCCCCACAGAAACCAGGAGGCTTCCATCTCCTCTTGAAGTAGAACCTTTATATTTAGTGCTAACCTCTGTTTTCCCAACCTAGGTGTGCTTCAAGTATTTTTGCCGAAGCTGCTGGCACTGGCGACACAGCATGGAAGGCCTGCGCCACCACAGCCCCCTGATGAGGAACCAGAAGAACTGAGATTCCATCTAGAGAAGCTGACCTTGCCCAGTGGCCTGTGTTGCCCAAGGCTGGCAAATCAGGCCTGTACCCTGCACTGGCGCCCAAGGAGCTAGCTTTCTGCAGACAAGGGAAAATTGTAGTCACCTTTGTACTTGCTAAATCTGTCTTTGTTTCTGCACTAATTAATGCACAATGAGTTTTGTCAGGTTTTGTTTTCAGGGGTGTGCAAGGACCCTCTGGCTCACCCTCAAGCAAATGTAGTTTTCCCAGATTCTAGTTCCTCGTTTTGCAAATGAAAAGAAAAACAACAACAAACTGTGTGTCCAGAAGGTATTGACACAGAAGCCTACACCTAAGTTTATTTATTAAAGCGCTTTTTACATTCCTTGCAATACTGACGGTGGTGATGCGCAGGTCTCATTGGTTCATTCTTGCAGTTGCCATACAGTGCCTTTCCATTTATTTAACCCCCACCTGAACGGCATAAATTGAGTGTTCAGCTGGTGTTTTTTACTGTAAACAAACAAGGAGACTTTGCTCTTCATTTAAACCAAATCATATTTCATAGTTTACGCTCGAGGGTTTTTACTGGTTCCTTTTTACACTCCTTAAAACAGTTTTTAAGTCATTTGGAACAATAAATTTTTTTTTCTTTTCTGGCAGCTTTTAACATTATAGCAAATTTGTGTCTGGGGGACTGCTGGTCACAGTTGCAAATCAAAGCATTTGTAACCAAGGGAAAAATTATTTTATTTAAAACTGGACCGGAGGGAAAGAAAATTAGGTCTGAGCAGCTGCTGTATATAGTTTTAAATGGTTTGTCGCACCTTCCTATGTTGCACTTACGTGGGGGGAGGGTTGGTAGAAGTTTTTAATCACAGTCACAGGGTTTTTTCTTTTGTAACTGAGCTTAAAAAATTAAAAAAAAAAGGGCTGCTTTTTGGTGGGGGCAGTTGAAGGCTCACAGGAGCCCTTTCTCTTAGAGGGGCAAGTACCCTTCCTTACATCTTTTATCTGAAGAATGTATGGATCAACAGAGTTGACACAAAAATGCTACTGGATTTTGAAAACTTGACTTTTTCTTTTTAACTACTACTTGCCCCTCTTAGGGAAGCTGTGTGCCAAAGAACCAGTGTCATCCCCTCCCTCCTGCTGAGCTGATGTTGCATTGTTCATATCCCAGCTACTCTGTGGGTTTTGTGAAGCTGTGTGTGAAGTCTCTACCTCATTGTTGTATATGCAGGCAAGACTGCACTCTCTACAGATGTGTGGAGTAAGCTGTGGTGTACTTTTTTTGGCACATAATAAACACGTTGCAGCAGAGTTGTGCTTTTGTCTCAGTATCTGGGGTGTGTACAGCAAGCAGGTAAGATTCCAGACTTTTCTTGGATTTTCTGCAATAAGATTGCAGGGTAATAGTATGAGTGTGTGAAAACTGCCCATATGTGGCACTTGTTACATCCTGGTCAGCCAACTTTGGAGAGATCTGTCCAGTAGCTGGGTGGTTACAGTCTGAAACAACAGACCTTGTTTCAGTTCCTTGGCCATCAAGAAGAATGCCCACAGGCACAACAACCAAGGTGTCAGAGCCACTTGTGCCCTGCTCTCCTGTGAGTTCTGGCATGTTTCTTCTCTGAGACTCACATATGCTGCTGTCCTTTCTGGGTGGATGCTACTTTGCTTTTTTGGTTCAGGGTCTTTGTGTCCTTGTGTGGGAACTCCTTCTATAATCCAGCCTAGCTTCAAACTCAACAAAAGTCTGCCAGTGAAGCAGGCATCCTAAGGGATGGGATTAAAGGTGTGCACCACTATCCCCAGCAGCACTTTGGATTTTCTTGCCAGCCCTTACACTAGAGTTTTTGTTACGACAGGGTGATGATGGTTTTCAGGCAGAGAAGTTGTGAACCAGCCTGCTGAACTGCTTTGGAAAACTCTAGCCTGAGGTTGAGGGATTCCTATGTACTAAAGCATCCCTCCTGTACGGTACAGAAACTCCCTACTGATCAGGATTTCTGTACTGTAGGGTCTCGAATCCATTTGAAGCCTGGCAGCCACTTCATTAGCATTTCACCGGTAAAAGTAAGCTTGTGCAACACGGAGTGCACATTAACCCCTTCATCTCTTTAGTCTCTTCCTGTTCCTTAGATAATGGCATCTCTTTTTCCTCCCTCCGTGAGCTACTTTCAGGTAAGGGTTTCTTGCGCTTCACCATCTGAGTTGAAGGTTGAGGCACAGCGGTGGTCCCCTGGATACATCCTACGTGGCTGGCACAGTCTCATGTTTGAGTCTAGGACCCCATCCTCCCAGGAAACAAAGGAAAGGCCCTTCCTAGGCTGATGAGGACACTTAAAAGCCTGCTTTGGGTATGGCAGAACAGCCAGAAGAAGTTGAATTTTGGATTCTTAGGTATAGGTTCAATTCCTATTGTTCTAGAAATAAGAGGAGTAAAAGGAACTCGGCAAACATGAATTGTGCTTGGAGATAGTGTCTTAACTGGTTGGGAGCAGTAGAGCGAACTGAGATCTGAATTTGTTCACAAAAATGTTTGAGAGTGTCCTGCGGTGGCGGCACACGCCTTTAATCCCACCACTTGGCAGAGGCAGGCGAATCTGAGTTCAAGGCCAGCCAAGACTTTCACAGAGAAACCTTGTCTCAGAAAAAAACAAAACCAAAACGTTTGAGAGCTTTCTGTGAACCCGCCACTGTTTTAAGCATTGGAAGTTAGCCTTCCTGTTTGGCTTATTCCCTAAAAAAAGAAAAAGAAAAAAAAAATACAGAAAAGTCACATGACATGGCAATGCAATACGTTTATGAGCAACTCCAATGCAATACTGTGCTGGGGTGTGAAGAAAAGCCCCCTGGTGAAGCGAGTTTGCAGTAAGTGAGAGGAGTCTCCAATCAGGCTAGAGCCGAGAAAGCTCTGACCTGAATCACACAGGTGGAAGTCAGGAAGGGCTGCCTCTACTACTACACTTTCCAGGGCGCGCGCTTCCTGTCTGCCGGGTCTCCAAGCCTCGGAGCCTCCCCTAGACTAAGCTACAGTGGAAGAGAAGCTTATCAAGCCCGGAACTACACGGAGCGGAGACTTAGGCGGCCCGGCTACCTGCGTGCGCACGCGCAGACACTCGCTCCGCCCGCCGCCAGGCACCGCCACTCCAGCCCTCCCGGGGGCGCTACGGTACGTCCGCGCGCTGCGCGCCGCCCCAGCCGGGCGGAAGCGGCTCTCTGGCCTGCGCTTTATAGGTCTCGCTTGTGCTTCCTGTTTCCTCTTTTCCCGGGACCCGTCAACATGGTAGGTGTTTGGCTCCTCGGCCTCTGTCCTTTCCAATCCACGTCCATCCTCCGCCGGTCGCGACTCCCAGCCCGCAGCGGGAAGCGGTCGGCCGGGCCCGCGCGGTGCCCTTCGGCCTGGCGCGCTTCCGCGGAAGGCCGCGGGCTCGCTGGTGACTTTTGCCCTCCACCCGCAGGGCCGCGTCCGCACCAAGACCGTGAAGAAGGCGGCCCGGGTCATCATCGAGAAGTACTACACGCGCCTGGGCAATGACTTCCACACCAACAAGCGCGTGTGCGAGGAGATCGCTATCATCCCCAGCAAGAAGCTCCGCAACAAGATAGCCGGGTGAGTGGGCGCCTCCTCGCGGGCTGCCCGGGGCGGAGGCCGGAGCTGTGCGTTCGCGGTGACGGCTCAGCCCCGGCCTGGAAACCCGATGGGTCGGCATCTGCTGCTAATAGTCACCACTGTGGCCGTGCTGCACCAGGAAGAGGCAGTGCTGGCGGGGGCGCTGATAATCTTTAAGGGGTGTGAGGAACGAAGAGGGGACAGGAATGTGTAGGGGTGGCTGTGTGCGTTACGGTGTCGCGTGTGTTTGGGAGGCTGTTGTTAATGTGCACACCGAGTGGGTTCTGTACCCAGGTGCTCTGGGCGCCAGCGGGAAGCTGGTGTGGTCACTGTAACTCCTGGCTTTTGTGCTTGTAGCTATGTCACGCATCTGATGAAGAGGATTCAGAGAGGCCCTGTCAGGGGTATCTCTATCAAACTGCAGGAGGAAGAGCGAGAAAGGAGGGATAATTACGTCCCTGAGGTAAACTTCGTGGGTCTTTCTCTGAACCTCTAGCTCCTGTCCAAGTGGTCATGGGAGTTCGGGGGGGGGGGTGCTCCTTTGTAATGAAAACGCAGTGAGAGGTCCTAGCCTAAGGTGTTTTGATACGGGATCTCATTGTGTAGAACAGGATCTCCCCAAATTAATAGAGATCCTCCTGACTTGTTTGCTGGCTGCGGGTGTCTGTTAGCCTTTCTGCCCCATCCAAGTTAAGTCGACTCCTTTTCCACATGGGAGCCTGGTGACCGTGTCTCCTTACCCGGACACCCTGAACATACGTTTTCACTGTGAACTCGATCTTAAGGCTTTCTGGACACTCACTAGCTAATACTGGCAGAAGAATAAAGCAGTCCAGGTGCACCCCTTAAATCCCAGTTCACGGAAGGCAGAGGCGGATGGATCTCTGGGTTCCAGAACAGCCTCTTTCCAAAAAAGGCAGAAGTGATCTTGTTCATCTTGTGGCATCCGAACAAAAACTGTGGTGGTTCGTGCTTTTTAACCCCCAGCACTGGGGAGCCATTGGCAGACATCCCTGAGGTTCACCAAGGTCGGATAGCGAGGCCTGATCTTGAGAGCAGAGGAAGTGGAAAATAACTCATTCATAACTTGGACTTGATTCTTTCCCTTCTAGGTCTCAGCCCTGGATCAGGAGATCATTGAGGTAGATCCTGACACCAAGGAGATGCTGAAGCTTCTGGTGAGTGTTGTGATTTCTAGTTGAGGGCCACAACGTGGCTTTGTCTTGCCCCGCTTTAAAAATGCTTGTGGCTGCTTGTTCTGTGTGTGTTGATTTCAGGATTGCGGGACATCACTGTCTGAGTCCTGTGCATTTTCTTTGTTCTGGGGCTGGCTCCTAAATTGTCCTCCTACCCCTTCGATTCAGCTCTGGCTCTGTTACCTGCTTTCCTTGGAGACTCCAGAGTCTAACTTATAGTCAGGCACCACTCAAGACAGTTGACAGGTGTCTTTGGTGTGGCTTCTCTTAGCCCTTTTTCATAACTGTGGATGCTAATGTGGGCTTCAGATCCCAACTGCTGTTAGTGATTCTGCGCAGTATAGGTCGCTAACAAAATAATCTTCCCATATACCCACACCTGGCTTTCGTGAAACCGTGTGGCAGCTGAAGCTTGCTGTGGATCTGCTGGGCTCCTGGGTGCTGAATGTGCTTAGGGATAGGCCTGATCAGAACTTCTCCACTCTTGGTACCTTGTACATCTGGTTCCCTCTCGGACTTTGGGTGAATTGTGATACCTCTTGACAGGGACCGCTCCAAACCCCTCCGACCATGGTGTGGGCTGAGCAGTAGTGTGCTTGCTGCCTTAGAGTCTGACAGAAAATGCTTACAGGCGGTTAAGCTTTAGCTAGAGAATGTTGAATCCTTGGGTGTGGAAGGCAGGCCTGGGTTTACTGGTGTTTTGCTAGTGGCTAGGGAGTGTGTGCTGAAGCTTGGTGGATGGATGAAAGTCTAGACAGCTGTGTTTAGTCGAGTATGTTACATGTTCAACAGCCCCTCCTAGGGGTGGCAAGCCCCTTGGCTGACTTTGATCCACACCCCAATCTGGAGGGGGGCTGGTACTAACCACAGATTACCCCTGCACCACTCACTACGAGTCTTGTTTTGTTGCAGGACTTCGGCAGTCTCTCCAACCTGCAGGTCACTCAGCCTACAGTGGGGATGAATTTCAAAACACCGCGTGGAGCCGTTTGAGTCTGTTCTGTCATTTTCAATAAATCTGAAAATAACTTTGCCTTTGTTGTCCTTGCTGCTTTTCGGGTAGGAGGCTGAGTCAGGAGTTCTCAGGACTAACGCAGCCAGGCACTGAACACTAACGTGCCTGCACGAGCAAACATAGCCTAGGATTTGGGGAGATCCTAGTGTGCCCGGAATGTGGCAGATGACTGCTTTGCTGTCGGCTCCCCTCAGTCTTGCGTACCAGAGTTGGGACCAGCGTGCCCATTTGGAGGGTAGTGGTGTCGCCCAGGGTAGGATAGGTATGCCTGTTGTTTTGTGGATGCTGTTTGGTAGGGCAGGACACTTCCTGCATGAATACCACAGGGGATGCTGTTAGCACAGAATTTAGGTTTTTAATTTTTACTTTGAGCCCTAGAATTCAGTGTGAAAATTGTTGCCCTTGGTAATAGTAGCTTTGAGTGTTTGAAGCTAACCTGTCCCTCCTTAACATTTGGCATCTGTTGATAATTCCTTTTACTAGAAC